GGTGCGTTATGTTCGGGGGAAGACGGGTAGGGGGTACACCGTGAGAATGGGGGAGGGAACGGGGGCCGGTAGTTCCCGCCCTCACGGATTTGAAATCTCGGCCATCTGGACTGTCGATTTTTGAGATCGACGATCCAGATCGGGCCCGATTTCAAATCGGTGAAATCAGGCCTGCCGGCCCCCCTTTTTTTTTTTTGTGGTCTGCATGGTCTGCCATGAGGGTGAAAAGGCCCCCAGCACCGAAAAAAATAATGAAAAATTAACCTACACTGATGTGCTGGGGGCGCCCGGTGGCCAACCGGGCATGACAACCGGCCAGGCGGCCCGCCCCCCCCCCGCCCGGCGACGACCAGGCCGCCGGGCGGCCCGGGGACCAGCCTAGCTATACAGAGATACAGGAATTGTGTCAAAAGAAGGGTATACCATACAAGCGAAAGGAAGCTGGGGTGTGGGAGCTGGCCAGATTGGACTTTGAGGTCCTGCTGAAGCTGGATGCTCCGAAAGAGAAGGAGGCGGCAAGTGTGGAAAAGGAGAGTGAAGAAAAAGCAGATGACATGGAGAGCAGCTCCAGTTCGGAAGAAGGAACCCAGCAAGATGATATAGCGGGAAACTAAGGGATGCGACCAAGCGGTCGCTGTTAAGAGCATGTAAGAAATTAGTGGGCCCATTAAGAGCATGTAAGAAATAAGTGGGATGGGCCAACCATCCGAACGGGACGATCAGGCATGCGATCCGCGTTCTACTGAAGTTGCTTGCCTTGACATTGTGTCTGAGGGGTGACATTAAATGGGGAAAACCATTCGTAAGATATTGGTTGAGTTTGGAGCCGGGTGAACGGTCGAGTATGCCCGTTCCGCTAACGGTGGACCAAAACAGAAAATACAGAGATGGTTGAGCAAAGTTGGTAGTGGCAACTACGTGGCGCTGCCACTTTGGTTTGGGGATAAGAATTCGCTTGCGAGTATGGAAAAGTTTGTAATTGGTAGTATGAACCCAGGTTTGAATATGAAGAAGGCTAATAACAAACCGTCGAGGAGAAAGCCTAGGAAGCCGATAAAAGGTGGAGGGCGTGGAACTTTTTGTAAAGATGCTCTGTTTTTTTTTTTATTGTGAACAGCTCGGGGTACTATCTGAGCCAGACCTCCTGAAAATTTCGAAACTTGGGATGAACAAAGGAAAATTGAGGATTGTAAATAGGAAGGGAAAGCATTGGTTGAAAGCATGGCGGTTGGTGAGGCTCCTATATGGATATAGTAAGGTCGAGATATCTGGCCAGACTCACCTACTGAAGGATGCAAAGCATCTCATCCAAGAGGGTGGTGAATGGCTGATAGCCGAGCTTCGGAAAACAAAGAATAAATCAGAAATTGCAAAGGCTGAAGTAATTACGATTCTCAGAGCCCCTTGGAAGAGAGAATTTGTACAAAAAAAAAGTTGGAAGAACTCGTTGAATTGAACACGGGAATTAAACTGCTAAATACTACAAGAGGGAGGCAAATCGTAAGGGGCATTATCACGAGAGTCACAAAAAAGGTGTTGGGTATAAATCCTAGACATAGGATCACAATCAAACTCCCCTTCTGTGATTCTGTGAGCAAGAATAAAGTACATGCGGTCGCTAAGGATTGGATGAGGGGGAGGATTTCACCAATGTGTTTATCTAACCTGTTGATTGGCAGAATGAGAACCGTTTGGCAGAAGAAGAAATTTGTCGGTGATCTATTGCATTATCACCAGCGCTTTGCAAGACGAAGTGGTCAGACCTGCGCTTGCAAAGGCTTTGACTTGCCCAGGAAAAATGGGCATGTTCAGGTTAGACTGGACAACATTAAGGGAATTCGTGACTTTGTGAAGAATTCAAAGAATATACCGCATCCTGGAAGCCTACTCACCAGGAGAGAGGTTAATATGGCTTGCAACGATGCCCTTGAACCATTGAAAAGAATGGGTGTGCTAAGACATGATGAAAGAATGCAGGTGGAGTGGAAAGAAATTTCTGTGAAAGGTAATCTACACAATGATGCGTTTGAAAGAATCCTTTGCAGGCCTGGTTCTCTCTCCTTTGGACAGAAACCCGGGAGCAACTCTGTTGGAATGTCCAGTTCTGTATGAAGAAGGCATGACAATGATGTACACTGAAAATGTGAATTATGAGATGATTAAGAAATCGGAGGAAGAAGTTTTAACTGCGATGAGACTGCAGTATAGGGCTCTGAAACTGGGGAGGATGGCAAAGTGGGACAATAAAGGGAGGCTACAGCATGCGTACATTCTGTCAAAGGACACCTAACGAAGAAGAGACCCATAGTGGCTTCCTTTTTTAGCCCCACCCGTTGTGCAATGGGTTACCTGGCACAGAGCCTGAACTTCCTCATCAAAAGGTTGAAGGTGAGGCACTTTAACATCACGGGGGCTAAGCATCTGCAGGAGAAGCTGGTGAGAGCAAATGAATCTGCAAATCAGAAATGGGGGTTGGATTGTAGATTTCTCATGAGAACGTATGATGTAAAAGAGATGTTCACTAAGCTGCCCCACGATGAGATAATTAAGGCCCTGGGGTGGTTGGTTGAGTATTTTCTGGATAAGGGGCATCAATGGATAAGGCTCAAGACCAGGGGGAAGAAGGCGACATTTGGTAAATCGCATGGAGAAGAGGGTTGGAAATCTATGAGATTAACTGACCTAATAACTTTGGCGAGATTCCAACTGGACAACACCTTCTTCTATTCAAAGGCGCAGATGTTCAGACAAACCACTGGGATTCCTACGGGAGGTAGGGCGAGCCCACCTCTAGCCAATGTTCTCTGCATTTTTGAAGAACAGCAGTTTATTATGTCTTTGGCGGCAGATACGAGGTACATTGATGGAAGTCGGTTCATTGATGATCTGCTTTTGGTTGGGTGGTACGATGCGAAGGAGAGAGAAGGAGAAGAGGTGCTGAATCAGACTTTGGACAAAATTATGAACTGCTACCATGAAGACCTTCTGTTAAAAAGGACTGACATTGGAAATCAGCTTGTTGAGTTTCTGGAGACCAGGTTGGTTGCCACAGCAACACCCGCATGGATATACAGTTTTCACAAGGCGAAGAATCTGGACGCCATTTGGGAAGGAAAGAAGGGTCACTAAAATCTTTGAGGAGTTTCGACTCTTTTGCTCCTTTGATCCAGAAGTATGGGATAGTCTCGAACTGCATTTGTTGGATCATAGACAATTCAATCATAGAAATTTCTCGCTGTGGTGGGGCTTGGTAACTTTTCTAAAAGACTTGAGGGTGATTGCTTACCCGCTAGAAACATTTGAAGCAGGGATAAAAAAGATGGCCAAACGAAAGGGGACTGAGTTCTGGCGGGAAATGACTGGGAAACTATTGGAATGGGTGGGAGGGGGGGAGTAAGAAGTGGAGATGAAGTGGGTGGCGGGAGGGCTGCGGGGGCAAGTGACCATCCAAGGTTGAACAGGTGAGAGCTCAGCGGCCCAACTGGCCGGGTCGAAAAGAAAAAAGAAGAAAGGAAGGGCCCTGGGAGAATGGTCCCGAGTTGGAGGCTGATAGGTGCGAATGATGTTGTTTTTTCGCATGTTTTCGCTTGTTTTCTTTCCTTTTCAGAATTTCCTAGTCAAAAAATCTATAATTTTATTCAGTTGGTAAATTTCACAGGCCTTCGGCCGCCAAGGAATGCCAACGGTTAGTTTTTTGGGAGAGTAGCATGAGTAAAGTCTGCCGGTGTGGTAAAGGGCGGACTATAGTAGGATAAAAGACAGTTTTACCGGGAGTTGTACTCCTCTTGGCCTGAGCAGCAGGACAGAAGGGTCGAGCGCTGGCGTACTTTTTACCAGCGGTGTTGGGTGATTTTTGCTGTGAGATGTAACGTCCATGATCACCTGAATTTTTGTATCTGTATTTGTATCTTTGGCAGCCGGGACGTTGCCTTCCAGAGGGAGGGGATAGTGTTGCGGACTCAGCTAGGGCTTGATCCCTGGTTCGCAGTCTCTGATCTCCGGTTCCTGACTGTTGACGCCCTCTGCAGTTGGAGCCCATTCTCAAATCCCTCCTCTGGCACTTTCTGATTTCGACACTTGGCGCCATCCAGCATTCTGGCGCCCAGGCTCAGACCTTCGATTTTCAGTTCAGCCCCGAGGCAAATTGCACTTCTGCCCTCGGGACTCAACTTGAGTCCGGTACTTGAGACCGGACTCAAATTGCGTTCGGGCACTCAGTTTTTGGGCCTCAGTGCTTGTGCTTCAGTGTGACTTGCTGCGACATTGTGTTCAGAATCCAAGATTGCGACTTTGCGACTTTGCCACTTTGTGTCTGCGTCCGTCGAGTCGGTCGAGTCTGCGTCGAGTTGAGTGAGTGTGTGTGTGTGCTCTCTCTCCCCCTCTCTCTCCCAGCCTCGCTGCTCTGCCTCAGCCCCGTCGAAAAGGTCGAGTCCCAACGCCTGACCAAACACATATGAGGTGCATGCGCTAAGGTCTCTAGAATTGGAAGTAAGAAAAGATGGAGAAACACTGAGACGTTGCCACTAGCAATGGGGGGGGGGAAGAATTAGAGAAACACAGGGAAAGCGCTGAAGTTGCACATTCTTTTGTTCTTCACCTCAGGGGGAAAACAGACTAGGAGGCAAAAGCGGGGGTGCCGGGGGGGGAGGGGGATTGAAAACACAGAAAATTGGACAAATCGGAAATCCTGTTTTTTGGGGACAAAATTCCGACAAATCCTTTTTTTCTACCTCTGCCTCTCCAGTTAATTGAGACATGCTGCAACAAAGGTTCACTTTGAAAAAATCATGTAAACAATCAACCCTTTGTTTTTCTCTGCCTCCCCAGTTTGAAAAAGGTTCAGTTTGAAAAAAATGGAGCACGGACACGACAACTTACCTCAGGATTTTCTGGGTCGAAGGAAAACGACTCCTGACCAAAAAATAAGCACGGATTCTCGAATCCTACCACATGGACCTCTGGGTGCTCAAGGCACCATTTCTGTGTTCCAACCTGTGTTTGACCATCATCCCGCATCCCCCCACCGACCGATAGATGCGCATGTACAAGACAAAACGTGAACCAATAGGACGCAATCAGTACCACAATTACTACCATCTGGCAAATGAAATGGTGCCTCCTAGCACGGTGTGGAAACAAAAAAACGAGGAGGAAAGGAACTTTGCACATCGGACATGAACTTTTCGTCATCATTTTCATCGAAAATGAATGGCACAACGAGAAGTCAACTTCTCCTCATACAGGCAAAGAGATCTTAAAGCAATTTCTGAAAAACGATACAAGTTCATACAACTTTAAAAGAGTGAACCACATCACTTCATTAAGCACAAATTTGTTTATCTCCCTCTCTGTGTCCCTCTTCGCCTCCACTTCCAGATACCGGACATGACCACTGCAGCAAAAGACTTCTCCACATGCCTTTCTCTATCGTAACCCTCTTCCACCCCTGCACCACTCCTGCACCACCTCTTTCCTAACTGTGGGTGTGTAATCATGGATGTGTCACAACATGTGTAGCACTGTTGGGACTCGGATGACTCCTAAGGTGGTGACCACTATCGTCCTCCCCTACAAACAACACACTCATCATAACTGTACTGGGCCGGAAAGCTAGGTTGGTCTATATTCATGACGAGGGAGCGTCGTGTTTGGAGAACTTTAGAGGAAGGGGGTAGCCATCACCAATCCCCCACCAACTGCCCAGGTGACAGCAAACACTAGTGCTCATAGCCAGCCCGATATGTGTCTGACTCAATCCCCCAGCTCTGCATTGTCTACACACAGATGCTGATAAGGGTTTCCCTTCGAATGTTTTGCATTTTTACACCAGATGATCCCGGCCAATTTCGAGATACACATCCATCAGAAAGTATAATGTCGTCCAATTGCAGAAAGAAATGAATGAACTTGAGAGGAAAGAGAGGATTAGAATAAGAAGAAGAAGTAAGAAAGAAGAAGATGATGTACACCAGCATAGACAAATGACAAGGCTCTTCTTCTTCGCCCAATAATCTCCTCCTCCTTATCTCCCCCTCCTCTTATTCATACAAGAAATAATAATAGAATGTTGAATGGCTGATCCAGAATCAATGTCCGAGTTCCTCTTCTACTGCAGGTATCACTTGAGGTCCACCATAGCCATGGCCGCCTCTCCTACTTTTCACTCTCATAGGCCGAGGCTATGGCGGACTACTAGGCCTTGCCCAGATGCCCAAAGGACAACCCAAAGCAGCTATGGCTGCTCTAGCTCAGGCTGCCATGCCTGACCCTGCCTCGAAGCTTCGTGGTGTAGCTCTCCCCAGTTGGGGACTCCCTGCTGCAGTGCCCACCAAGGTGATGAAGATGGCTGCGACCACAGCCAGGTAAGTACCCCTGGCGCTCCTCCCCCTTCCTGTCCTTCTTCCTCCTCCGTGTCCTTCTCCTTCCCCCAGCAGTGCTGCTCCAACCGGTGCTCCAACCAGTGTGTCGCCAAACTTGCACACCGAGAAAGAGCCGGGGATCTTCACTCAGCTGGGAGATATAGCGGCCTGCTTGCCTCTTCGGGCGGTGACTTCCAGGCCGCTCGGCCTTCCAAGCAACCGGTACCTCCTCCCTTTCGGAGGGAAACATCATTGCAGACTCTGATATTGCCCGTACAGGCCCTAGACCCAGACTGGTTGGACTGGTATCCGCCTAGACCTAACCTACAACTACAGGGCCTCTAAAAATGCCACTTTTGTCTTTTTCTGCTCTGCCTCCAGTACCCACACATCTACCCCTTCAGGGTGCGGTACCGGCCTGCCCGCTACTTGAGTGTTTCTCCTGCTGCCATCCCTCAATGTCACGGCCACAGGTAAGTACCGGCCCTGAGGGCCCAATGAACGAGCAAGTGCCCTTGCAGGCCACACACACATTCAAGCAAACCAGCACTCAGACAGGCACGGCCACACGCACACTCAAGCCAATCAGCACTCAGACAGGCGCGGCCACACACACACTCAAGCCAACCAGCACTCAGACAGACATGCAGTCCAGCAAGCGTGCACACACAGACTTAGTAACAAGCGGGAAACTCAGCAGGGCATTCAGTCTATGGGCAAAACTCAGAAATCAGCTGTGTGTTTCAGTCCATGTTTGGACGGGTCATCACACTACTCCCCCCTCAAGAGCGAGGTCCCTTCGAGCGAGTAACTCATTCTGAGTCATCAACAAACGCATCGTAAGCAAGCAAGGCAAAGAGGTTCCTAGAGTACTCTGTTGCAGTGAGTCTTGCAAAGATCTTGGGTACAACGTTAGTGGCGATTTGTCGCTCGTAGGCTTTGACAACGCACGGTGCACTGCGTAGCAGTTCCTGTTTGAAATCCAGTACAAATCGTCTAATGGGTGATACATGAAGTGAACCTGGTACTCTGTTGCGTCCCTTCCCTACGTGCTGTTTGATTCTGTCTATCTCATGCCCACCTTTGATCGCACGAGTGATCATGTCTTCGCAATAGTCGAACGTCTGAGCATCACAGTGGAGGTACAGTTTCGATGCATGGAACACGGGGTGTGTGTGCAGATGGGCTGGCACATCAACTACGTACAAAGGGCCAAAGTGGTCTTCGCCAATCACATCCAACACTTCCCACGGTCTGTAATAGAGTGGGAGAAGTTTGTGAGAGACCCCTTCTTCTTCTGAGAATTCAGACATCTTGACCCAGACATAGCTTCCTACCTGAATATCCGACGGTTGGCGCCTCTTGTTCGCGTGATGGATCATGGCGTGCTGTCGCTTGGTCATGGCTGCAATGGAAACCTTGAGCAAGCGATCATACTAAACCCTGAAGCCAGGCCTGCCGGGTGTTAAGCCAGCTGGCTGCTCAAGGAATAGGTAAGAGAGCGGATTACGGATCTGCCAACCGAGATGCAGCCTGTTAGGTGTCATGCCGGTGGCAGAATGGATGGAGTTGTTGTACAACCCCCTAACG